GCTGTAAATGAGAAGAGAGAAGCGAAAAAGGAAATTCGAGATCGAAAAGGAATTTGGGGTTTAGAATGAAATTTAGGACTGTGTTGCAAGTTTTAAAAGTTAGGGAACCTAAATGCAAGCGCTTGAAAAGTTCAGTGACCATATTGCAAACATACTAACGACAATGTAACGGTGTCAAACGGTCGGGGACCATATTGCAAACAGACTAAATAGTGGGGACCATATTGCAAACGAACTAAATGTTGGGGGATTGTATTATAAGTTTTAAAAGTTGGGTACCTAAATGAAAACTTTAGAAAAATTCAATGACCATTACTATACTTTACCCTATTTTTATTGAACTTTATTTCTTTAATCTTATTTTTAGGTTGAATTCTTTCTATAACACTTAGCTTTAAATTTAATCCTTATTTTATCGTTAAAACTCTAAATTAATACGATTTTATCCTTGTATTTTGATTTTAGGTTTAATTATATCATTGAGTCCTTAACTCTTAAACGGCGTATTGATGTGGACATCAATTCCATCAATATGATGACATGACTAAAATAACATCGTATTAGTGTGATTATATTAATATTCAAAATGATGTCATTTTGGATTATTATAAAAATTATTATTTTTTTTGCTAATTGTCATTTTTTTCCTCTCTGTTTTTTATCATTTTATTTTATTCGACCTAGAATTTTAATATGCTATGGTTGCATTGATGACATTTGTCAACGTGAAAACAATACGTAACATAAAGTTTAAAACATATCTTTGAAAATACCTAGGATTTCATGCATATTATATTAACTACGATAAAAATAGTTGTGAGATTACCTTAATTGTTGGTTCATCAATCCTTACGTGATGTCTATAGTTTACTTTCAATCTCCAAACGTATTGTATTTCTGAAAGACGGTCACCCTCTACGATAAATGAATGAAGAACGATTATCGAAATGCTAGTTCTCTATTTTCTCGAAACAATATTTCTTGTATATATATAAGTTAATTAGGGTTAGATTAAGTCCAACTTTAATTTAAATTAATAATAAATTAAGTTATTTTTTATTTAAAATACCTTTTTAAAATATATAATAACTTAATTTATTATTAATTTAAAACTTAATTTATTATTAATTTAAAACTCTTTTAAAATAATTAATAATAATTTAAATCATGTTCCATTAAATAATGGCGAATTTCCCGAAAAATCACCCTAATTTTTTTATTCCATGTCAGACACTGTTTAGACTTTATTTTCCGATCTAACACCCTTTGCAGAAAGGCGCGCCCCTACGGCGCGTCTTACGCCATGTGGGGGTAAGACGCGTCCCTGAAGCGCGCCTTATTAAACGTGTAAAAAATCGGATGTTAATTTTGTAAATATGTTTGAAATTGTGACAAATATGTAATTAATTTTTATTAGGGTGATATTTGTGTAAAAATGTCAACTTTATTTATTTATTTATTTATTGTGTGAAAAAAAACTTTCTATATTAAAATCTTTAAATATTCTTTTGTAAATTATTTTATAACTCGACAAATTTTGATTTTTGCATGAAATTACACAATACATATAATCTAGTATAGGAAATCTTTGAAGGTAAGTGTTTTAAAATATGAATAATTTTATAAAAGTTTTATAACTAGTATTTCTTTTTCAAAATGATGATGATGATGATAATAAATATTTTATAATATTAAAAATTATATATTTTATATATTTTTGAAAAAAAATTAACTTTATATTCTTTTTGTATTGAATTTTATTCACTTTTAATTCTTTTTTATTGTATTTTTATTGATTTAAAAAAAAGTGAATAATAATTCATTTGATCTATCAATTGTAATTTAAAGTTTATTTTAATATTTTTAAACAATTAATATTAAAAGTCAATAAACATTATTAACTGTTAAAAAATAACATCACACAAAAAATAAATCAATAAAGTTGGCGTTTTTATTGAATTTTATTCGCTTTTAATTATTTTTTATTGCATTTTTATTGATTTTTAAAAAAATGAATAATAATTCATTTGATCTATCAATTGTAATTAAAAGTATAAAAATGCAATAAAAAAAAGAATTAAAAGTGAATAAAATTCAATACAAAAAGAATATAAAGTAAAAAAATTCAAAAATATATAAAATTTACAATTTTTTAAATTATAAAATATTTATTATCATTATCATTTTGAAAAAGAAATATTAATTATAAAACTTTTACAAAATTATTCATATTTTAAAATACTTACCCTTAAAGTTTTCCTATACTATATTATACGTATTGTTTAATTTCATGCAAAAATCAAAATTTATCGAATTATAAAATAATTTGCAAAAGAATATTTAAAAATTTTAATGTAGAAAGTTTTTTTTTCAAACACAAAAAAAATAAAGTTAATGTTTTTACACAAATATCACTCTAACATAAATTAATTATATATTAGGCATCATTTTAAAAATATTTACAAAATTAATACCTGTGTTTTTTACACATTTCACAAGGCACGGTTCAAGTGGCGCCTTACCCCACATGGCGCCAAATCAGTATAAGGGCGCGCCCCCTGAAGCGCGCCTTTCTGCAAAGGGTGTTAGATCAGAAAATAAAATCTGAACGGTGCCTGATAGGGAATAAAAAAAGTTAGGGTGATTTTTCGGGAAATTCACCTTAAGGAATTCAAATTCAACTAAATATAAAAAAAAATCTTAAAAAATATTAATCTAACATGTTCAATTAACATTGACAATATATAAAATAATATTTGATTTTACAAGTCATAATTGACCTCTAAATAAGATGTTATTGCTACTCAAGATAAATAAAAAGCTTGTAATTCGAAACAATCTTAACACAACTCATGTCATAATGTTTTTATCTTTCGTTATCTTGATGGAGTATAAAACATGAAATAAAATGTCAGTTTATATTGTCCTATCTTCAGTTTCTTTATATTCAATTGAACTGACTAAACAAATAACATTAATTTACATCAACTCATTTGAACACGATCATATACTTGTTAGTCTCAATTATCGATGAACACGACCAACAATTTTAAAACTTTACTTAGCTCTCCACATATAATTATATATTGGGGTTATTTTTTCTTGCATTCTCAAATTATGATTTAAACTTTGAGTTAGTTTAAAATTTTAAATGTTATAATTAAATTCTCAAAATATTAATATCATATTAATTTAATAATTAATTTAAATATTAAATGAGTTTAAATATAACGTGAAGTATATTAAAATGTAAAATTATGTGTATTTATTACACAAACTGTTTCGATTTAATACGTTAAAAATAATTCTCTTAAATTTTGTGATATTATCTTTTAAACAACATACTCAAATTATTCATACATATGTATAATTTAATTCATACATTTTAAAAAATTTCAAAAATATTTTTTTTTCTGAAAATGATACTTTAACACCTAAGCTTATAACCATATTTTAAGGATTTGATTGAAATAACTTTTTTAAATAATTTGATTAGTCTAGGATGATTATAAGATTGTATATATTTGAAAGAGTCTCGGTCATTTAAAAATAAATGATTATAGCACGAACTAACTTACCTCAGTGATTAAAGAAATCGTTGTTATTCCTAGAGGTCATGGGTCGAGCACCAGTAACTGCAAGGGTGATTAAACGTTTATTGTCAAATGGTTGAGAATAATATTTAGAACAAATAATACATTGTAATTATCTTTACTTTAATAAAAAAAAGAATGCTTACATACTCCTTATAGACATCACGCTTGAACCTAAAATCTCTAAAAATAAAATCATCTTGTAGGGTCATTTGTAAATAATTTTAAAATGGATAAATTATGCATTTATATTATATTATATATTCAAGCAGTTACCTAAGATCAAAATTGATAGTTTAGTACTAAAGACATAATTTATCTTTTTTAAAATTTGAAATTTTTATAATATATTATATATTCAAGCAGTTACGTAGTGGCTTCGTTGCAGTTTCCAAGTACCCCAAGCCGACTGCTTGGGGTAGAATTTGTAACAAAGGGAAGATTGTATTCATATATATATATCTTACTTGGTCCTATTTCATAAGTGTATATATATAGGTTAACCAAACTGTTCATTCCCCCCCCCCCCCCATATAGGACTACTCATCTGTATTCTTTGGCCCCTCCGCTTTAGAATATTAAGATTAATTTTAGAATTTGTCAAAAAAAGATGAATTAAAATTAGGATTAGGGATACTTTCAATATCATCCCTTTCTATCTTATTTTTTTTAATTAAATCCTTATTTTACCTAATAAAATTAAACTATATATAATTAAATTAAGAATAGGTTTTGACATAAAAAATTGAGTATGTTTCAGGTCAAGTGAAACCCTCCTAAACTCAGGTTAGATCAAGTACAAGTTGAGGGGTTTAATTTTCAGGTCAAGTTTGAATGGGCCAAAACCCAACCCATGGCCATCCCTACTTACTACTAGAGCTGTCATCAAACTGAGCTAGTATTAGTGTAAAACTCGAGTTCTAACTTGATTTTAGAAAACTAAGTACTCGAAGCTCAACTCGAGCTAGATCAAATACTTGCTCAAGTTCGAGCTAGACCTCAACTTGTAAAATCGTAAATTAGTATCAAATTATTAAAAATACATTTGTATAATAAAAGCTCAACTTGAGTTCAACTCAGAGTGACAAATCAAACTCGAATAACAATCGACCACAAGTGTCTCATTTAAATTCCCTACTTACTATCAATACTCTCTACTAAAATACCTAAATCCATTTGGAAGAAATCAAACTCTTCAAAACTCAAAAGTATAACAAAACATGAACAAATGTCAATCATTTAAACATCAAGCAAGATGGTGATAGAAATAGGTGTTTTAAGAATGATAAATAGCGGGCTTCGTTCGTGTCAAGAGTGAAGAAGACATCTGGTTGTGCTTGAAGCAATAGTCTCTTTCAATCTGTTTCAGCTTTAAACATGTACCATCAAGTCCAGATGCAGGAATTAAAAACAACAGATCAAGAAGATGTTGAAATTTCTATAAGTATCACACAATAAAAGCTACCAACATTCTCATATGAGGACTACATGGACCCAAGTTGACCCTTTCTATAAAATTGCAAAAGAAGCTGATGGAATGTTTCAAAGACATAGTATGATTTTAAAAGTTAGAGAATTGTCCAAGCCTTTTCTGCCAAGTAATAAGTCCAGTTCATATGTCAATTGTGTTAGACTTCCCAAGTCAACCCTTCGGGAGATCAGCAGTGAGTGAAGGATAGGACAAACAAAAGCTTCAAGGTTGTCTAAAACATGGTTATAAAAAGACTAAAGTCAACTTCTTGTCCCAAAAGAATATAAAAGTCAACAAACAGAAGACTAAGCACAGAAAATAACACAAAGATACAAAACCCTTCAGTGAAATACATTAAATAAAGAAAACTGAGCTGGTTACCTGTATAAACAATAAGTCCTTTAACTTCCTTGGTACTTTGCTAATACTATGTGTATTTTCTTGATTTTGATTATAAGACCAATTTGAATCCTTTTGAAAGGAAATCATCCCTGTAAAAACAAAAGAACCGTTATTATGCATTAAACCGGTCGACGTTGTGTGTTTAACCGCAATCAAAAGTGTCAATTGAACAAAAGACAAACTCAGGAAAGGTTCGAACAAGTTGGGAGTTCCACCATATTTACCTCTTCTTACAACTTTTGATCTTCAGTTTCTCTTGTTCTTTTTGTTTCTCAATTTGAATCCTTTTCGGGTCATCGATTTGAACGAGGCTTCCTATATAAACCTCAGCACCAAATGTACCCGGACTACCACCGATTTTCACACTCCGCATCTTCTTCTTTTCTAGATCGTACCAGACAAACTTTTGGCTATTGATCTCTAGTAGAATCTTATCAAGTTCCTTGGAATAAGCTAATGGTTTGAGAAATGCTAAAGTGTTAATGGCTCGAGTCGTTTGAACCGAAATCAACGGAGTCCAAGATTCTTTTACCCCATATTCCTTCATAACCCTAACATCAATCTTCGCTTGATCGTAATTACAAACAGCACATAGGCGTCCTTCCAAGACACCCACATCCAACAGATAGCTCTTGTCAGCACAATCTGGTTGAGGCACTTCAATGAACTCCTCGGTTCCGAGATCGAAACCCACAATCTTATTCCTCATTCCAAATTCGATTCGAGGCGGCATCACCCAATGCAAAACCCCACCAGCTAACACACCATAGCCTCGTCGATGCAGCAAATGGTAGAAGAACTGAAACATAAACCGAAGATAACAAGGAAGCTTAGTGATTTTCCTCCAAGCGTCATTCTTCAAACTATAAACCTTAACCTCGTAATCGAAAAAGAAGCTCTCATCCTCTTCATCATCAGTTTTATTGAACTTCGCCATTCTCACGACCTTATAGTCATTAGTTTTAACATCCTGCCCGAACCCATAAAAGATATACCCAGATTTACAAGATTCACCAGGCGGGGGATCGATTTCCGAGACGGGCAGTCGACGGAACTGCCTCGTCGACGGATTATACAAGGCGAGATTCTTATCCGTGAGACGGAATGCGAGGATTCCGTTACACGAACCAAAGGCTTCAGTCCCAGCTCCGCTACTCAGAGGATAATCGATAGGGACGGAGTTATTCAGGGAGTCGAATTCCACGGAATAAAGATGCAAACCTTTGAGGAGGATGTTGAGGTTCGATCTGGTGTTGACAGAACGGCTCAGCTGGACCTTGATGAAATCAGGGTCGTCGATTAGAGAACAGCATGGCTTGGACAAGGCCTTGAAACGCACCAGTGACTTCACCGGGAGGCGATTGAAGATATCGCCGATTACATCCATGGGAAGCTTAGACATTTTTTGGGATTTGGGGGTTTGTTTGAGGGGAAAGGAAAGAATCGATTGAGTCGAGAAGCGAGTGGAAGGGGGCGACAGTGGTTGGACAATTGGTAAAACAACAAGATGCCTGCTTTGTAGATTAAGACGTGTCCCACTGTATCCCTTAAAATTTAAGGAAAATTTATCAAAGTTAGCAAATTGTTTTTGGATAAAGCACATATTTAGTACTTCAACTATTACTTTTATTCCATTTTGCTCATCTAACTATTTATATTTTAAAATTATACATAATATTACGTTTTGATTTTATTTTGGTCACTCACCTTAAAAAATTAACGGTGATGATGATGTGTCACCATAACGTAAGTTCACGTTATTATTGTAAATTTTTAAAAACTGCCACTTCAGTAGTTTTGTATTTTTTTTTAACAACGGAAGACTAAATTGAAACCAAAATGTAAGATAAGTGACCCAAATGGAATAAAAGTGATAGTTGATATACTAAATATGCAGTTTACCCTTTTATTTCTTCCCTAATTATTTTAGTTAAATTTATTTTCAATCTCTCAAAAATAATTACATTTTACTAACTTCAATCTTTAAAAAAAATATAATTGTTATTTTTAATACAAAACTAATTCAAAAATATTAAAGAATAAAATTCGTATTACTTTAAGTAATAAAGAATAAAGTTTTATTACTATAAATATAAAATCTTTTTTAAATATATATTTTTTTGTTTTGGTTTGCAATTCTGGAAGCATATAATCTCAGTATTAACTAGCATTGCTGTCCCGCTAATAAATAAAAATTAAATTCACATTTACTAAATAATATTTTTATCATAATTCAAAAAAATTATCATAATATCTTGTAATTACGGAAATTAAATTAAAGATTATTGATTCTAAAACTAATTCACAAATTAGCATGCAAATTATAATTTTTTTTACTCGAAGGAACTAATCTTATTAAGAAATGAAAAAATCTAAAATTATAATAAGAGTTTACGATTAAAATCATAAACTAAACACATAATTATGATATTTTCTTATGATCATTAGTACAAAAATTAACCACTTAAGATCATATAAGGACCATATAATATAATATAAAAACTCATTCAAAAAACTCAAACAATAAATAGATACGAACAAATTTGACCGTTACGACAAATGAACCACAACATGAGATTTAACTACTGAAAGACCATTAACAAACGCAAATCAAAGCCAAACATCGTGAGAAAATTATCTATGAACACATATTGCGTATCCAAATACAATTCAAATGCCTAAAACAAGGAAGATCAACGGAATAACAAATGAACATAATCTTGATCAGTTATAAAATTATTGTTGTAAAAGCTAACTATATTGATTAATAACTAACTAATAATATTATAAAATTAAAATATTGAATTTGAAATATATTTAAAAAAAAAAAGCAAACTATGATGTCAGTCGACTCATAAATAACTTTAAGGTTAAAGAAAACTACATATTTGGTAACTTAAAAGAAACATATTGAATAACTTTTATGATAAGTAGTCGAGATTCTAAAGATATATATTATATAAAAAGTTAAAAAGACTTAAGATATTTAAATTCTAGTGTAGGATATTTCTTCTCCCTTTTTTTTATGTAATGTTAAAATTAAATTTTGACGTTTGTTAAAATGGTTAATTTGACTCTTATTTTAATTTTAAAGTATTTTGATCTCAATATTTCATTTTAAGTTTAAAAGATTCTTAATATTTAGTCGAATAGTCATTTGGCTCGTATTTTTTTAGCATTTTGACCTTCAATGTTTCATTTAAAGTAAAAAAAGTTAACATTTTAGAACATTAACCGTTTGATAACTAATTATTTTCATCCATACATGAGACTTTTTTTCTCAAAATAAAACGTTGAGACCATAATACTCTGAAAAAAATAAGAATTAAAATGATTATTTTAATAAATGTTAGAAGCTTATTTTTACATTATACTAGAAGTAAATGACAAAGATGAAGGGGAAGACGAGAGTTTCTTGGGAGAAGTTTCCTTTTTCAAAAATTGGTGGATGCTTAATAAAGGATTTATTAGTATCGAAAGGTACGATGCCGGTGAGTATTGATTCTAACTAGGAATGGATTGAAGGGTATTGAGATGTAATTATAATTTTTGAAAATTTTAAATTCTGGTATAATTTAAATATTTTTATTGATGATTTAATTTTACATTACAAAAATTTATAATTTTATGTTTTTAAAATTTTTACAATAACATTGTAAGTTCGTGTCATGTTTATATGTCCATTGTCCATTGTGAGTTTGGAGTATAAGCCCATAATTTACAAGCCTACTACCAAATTTGGGCAGTAGATAGCCCCTTATGAGTTTGGAGAATAAGCCCATAACTTACAACCCTATGATTGTCTAGATATGTCCATTGCTTTGATTTGAATAATGATTTGATTCTATTCAATTTGAATTATTATGTATAAATTAAAATATATTTTTTATTTAAATCAAATCCTAATATATATATATATATATATATATATATATATATACAGTAAAATATATCACGTATTGTTAGATCTCCTCTTTGGTAAAAGGTTGTTTGTCGATATAATCAGAACTGTGTAACGAAGCAACATGCCAAATTGTTTGGTTCGCTCACCACTCCTTTATCATTTCGTAAAACGTCTCGTTCAACAAAGACAATGAATTTTATGAATGCTACTGAATTCTTTTTATGTTGGACGTCATTCTTAATGGAATGTTTCGTTTTTCTTCGTATATTTGAGTTTAATATTTTTGTTTTACGTATGAATATTTTGGTGACTATTGTCCAATTTTTCCCTCTATGTTATTAAGTACATTGTAATTTTAATTTATTTTATTATTTTTATTAATGAAATCGAAATCTCGTTGTTAAAAAAATAATAAACTAAAATATAAAGAATAATATGATATTAAACCCTTTCGCCTTTATAAGCGGCCTTAAGAGAGTCAAAAGGCCAACCATAGGCATTGATAAATAAATAAAAGATTTGGATAATTCACAGAACCAAGAAGAAAAAAACAATGGTCTTGATCATTTGGGTGGCCTGTCGTTGTCCACGATATTTACACGTCATGCTTTTAATTTTTAATTAGCAAAGTCAAGGGGTCAAATAATTTTAATATAAATAAAGTACATGCATACGTTTTTATTGTGATTTAATATCCTACAAAGGCTACAGCCGCCTCCAACTGGATTCAAAATCTCACACAGACAGCATAGAGTTTGTCGAGTAATTGGCTTTTGCAGCTTCATTCTTCTGACTTGGTAAAATGGAAATTTTGTATTATTTAGGGTAGGTTAATTTCAAAAAATAATTTATTTGCTAATAGTATATTTGTTGATGGAATAATTATAATTTATCGATCGTTAACGATTCATTCATTCTTATTTGAGTGGAGAATTACAGCCGATGCAAAAGATGATTGTTAGCTCTGATTCTCTATTGAAGAAAATAGAAGAAAGAAGGCGTGAGAGAGAAGGATAATAATGTAGACGAGAATGAGAGAGAGTCTCCTCTTTTAGTCTTTCTTCGGGATATAAATACCTCATGTAATACCCTAATTTTGTCCGGGCCATTTAAATTCATTTGAAGACGATCGAGAATTAAGTTGAATATGTTTGTGCTCGATGATGAATTATTTCAAAAGATAAATCACGAAAGTTTACGTTTGAAAGCTTGAGGTGTTTAATTGGACTAAGTCGTAGGTTCATTTTGGAAATTAAGGCACAATTTGAAATTTAATCCCAAATACAAATTTAAGTGTCTAAAGACCATTTACGTCTTTGAAGTCCAATTACAAGCCAAAACAAGCCAAATTAAATGAAAGTTCGAGATTCAAGTCCAACAGCAGTCTCAAAATGAAAACCCATTACACCAGACTCGACCCATTTGGCACCATTTCCAGCTCTAACACGGTGCTATTGCTGCCCACGTGAAGACATTGGGAACCACAAAACCAAGCTGCCCACATGAAATACCCAATAGCTTGGTTCCCATGGAAGACCATACATATCAGCCAATATGCCCGAGCACCCCAACGAGAAGTCCTCGAGGCTATCAACAGCCCATACTGCTGAAGCTCCACTGCCCATGCCAACACCAAACCTGAGCAGAACAGCTCGGTTCCCCACTTCTGTCACCCACGCTCAGCCGACAGCACGATCACCAAGCCAACCGAGAAGCACCCATGCTGCTCCACTCACCCCGAGCAACGCCAAGGCTCGGCTCCCCATCACTACTGCCCATGAAACAGTTGGGGCACAAGGGACAACATCGAACAGACCCATGCTCTGGCACCTGGGAAACCAAAATTCACAGAATCAATCACAGAGGGGGAGTAAAAAACCAGAAACCACGATACAAAAAGGAGGGAAGCACTAGCGCCGTTCAAAAAAGACCCACTCGTGTTTGTCGGCCATTCACGGAAGCACTACCGCCGTTTACTTTGCTCGAGCGATTCATTTTTGTTTTAAAAGGAGAATCAGAGTGGGATAACCAGCGGCCATTATCAACGAGAGACCCCTAGAATCTATGGGCCATCACCAAAAGAAAAAGGGAACAACATCAGTTATCAGCCATCACCAAACACAACCAAAAAAAAGGGTCAAAAAAAAACTTAGCCATTACCAGTAACCCCAAAAACATTCGAGCAACAATACCCTCATCAAACAGAAAGCAAAGCAAGGAAAGAAGCAAACAAAACTTTTACCTTCTTTGTCGTTTGGGGCCCGAATCATAGCCGGTCGTCCAAGGTAACCGTCATGAACCTTAGGTCCGTGCTTGGTTGAGGGTTTTGTGAGGTCTCGGTGAGGATCGGGTTTAGGGTTTAAGAGGTTAGAAGAGTGAGAAAAGGGTTTACCTGAGCGTTTCTCGTCAGGATAGTTTAGTGGTGGCAGCCACGGCGGCTGCCACGGTTGGGTTTGCTGAGGGTTTCGACCAAGGAAAGCAGAGAGAAGCGAGAGACCATGGTGGTTGTGGAGGCTAGGGCTTCGTTTGGTTTCGTTTGAGAGGAAATCTAAGAGATTTGTTTAAGGCGGCGGTGGCCGTGGTGGCCAG